AAGTGCTCTCCACACCGTGCGAGGTGGTCGCCCATAGTAAAACGTTCTATTCAGCCCTAACAAGTGCCCCCACACCGTGCGAGATGGTCACCCATCGCACGGCTCTCTAACCTGACTCACCGGAACGAAGTGCTCTCCAAACCGTGCGAGATGGTCGCCCAATGCCCATCACACGGCTCCCCAACCTGACTCACCTTTGTGGCGTGCCAGACACAGATTAGTGGAGAGCCGTAACGAGTGCTCTCTGAATTTGATTGCGCTGTGCTTAAAGAAGAGTTCCATCCTTCTCTTAAGATAAGAAAGGTGTAGAGTGTGGGCAAAGGAGTAGTTTAGGTGTAGTGTAGCTGTGTCCTGTAGTAGTCTTGAAAATAGAGAGGAGGTGGCTCTAGAGTCTAGAGCAAGTGGAGCGAGGCAAGGGATTTTGAGACTTCCGAGGGTCTGACAGCTCTCGAATTACTCTCGAAATTTTTTGGGAGAATTTTTATGGGAAAAAGTTATAAAACCTCCCCGCGCGGAAACCTTTGTATTCAATTCCTCCCAAACAGGGCAAAAAGTGTGGCAGGCCCTAAAATGACTTTTCTAGTCATTTTTTTTACCTAGGCTTGTAGGTAAGGCCTGCTGTGTAGAAATGGCCGGAAAAATGCCAAACCTATTTGGTCCTATTGTAGAAGTGAGAAAAGTCAGAATCTCCGGAGCCACCCAATTAGTCCCATCCATTATACCAAAGAGTGGTTTGGTTATGTCTATTCGTATCTATTTATTGCTGCGGGGGTAATTAACACTTGCTACCCCATAAACCGGGGACACCTGCCAAAGGGCTCGCAAGAGCCGGGACACCTGCCAAAGGGCTCGCAAGAGCCGGGTCCCGGACCGAAGGCCCCGAAGGCGTTGTTTGAGTCTCTATATAGATAGGCCGAAGGTGCCCGTATCAATTGACTAACTGAGTTAACTCATTCATGAGTGAAACAGTACTAGAGTAGTGGAGCCAGACTCTTAGGGTCTGATCCGACCGTACTACTTACCTTTTCTTTTTTTTTCTTTTTTCTTTTTTAACAAAAAGTTCCCCGCCAGTGTTAGTGGTGCTGATAAGAGCAGACACCACTAGCACCTGGGGAGAGGCTCCATCTATTGGTGGGGCACGTCACCTGCTGGAAAACGGGTCCAGCGTCCCTTATACAGGCTGAAATTGAAGTACATCAGAAAACAGTTGTGGGATGTTCCTGCCAGCATTGATTACCCTGGGATCGGGGGGATTGACTGAGCAGGATATTGGGAGGAAGGGGGAACCTCTTCGCCCTGGATTCGGCGCCGGCGCCAGCTACATCGCTACACACTAGTTCCTCCCTCCCCCTAAGCCATATTGAGTCCATGCTAGCTGGGAGCCGGGTCAGATGGGGGGAGCCACTGGGGGGCAGTGGGACCTCCTTTCTTCTCCCCTTTTTTGAGAGTGGTCGCCGTGATTTAGGAAACATACGGGCTACTACAGCCTACAGGAGCACCCAAATTCATCCGACTAGAAACGTTTCTACTCTTCTTTTTTCCGCGGCCGATAGCTGGGCCAAGTACTGGTGGTTTAAGGATTGTGAAAACATTGGGATTGCACACAGTTCCGGTTTTGTGGGGGGCTCTGGTGGCAATAAAAAACCTTCCGGACCGTTGCGTACGTGGCAGCACGCGCGCAAGGGTTGCCGCGAGGTTCGTAGGGAATGTCGACAACTGCTGCGACCCCTTCCCTGCCCCGAAAAGAACAGACCTGTTTTCTTTTTTTTTTCCCATTGTTTTTTCATGTCGGCCAAGCGGTCGTGGAATGTCAGGTCAGACCTCGCCAAGGAGATTCTCGGCAACGCCCGTAAGACCTCCTTCTCCGCACTCCAGTGGGATACAATTTGGGTCTCGCTCCACTACTGTCCACTGTACAAAAACGGACAGTCGTACTTCGCTCCACTTAGGGCCTGCACTACTCTTGAAATGCACAAAAGACAAAAATCATGGCCGTGTATCTTTCCATGTTCTAGCGGAAGATTCACTCTGGTTTTGCACATTTCGAGAGTAGTGCAGCGAGGCCCTTACTGTCCACTGTACATGTGCAAAATGGCTTGGACAGTTTTTAGAAACCCCGTAGAAAATCTACTGTCCGTGAATGTACAGCTCCCAGCCTGCAAAATTCTTTACGCGGAAAGTCCTTCAAGGGACTCACCGTCAGGACCCCAATTTGGACAGTGCACCTAGAGTCCCGGCCGACAAAATCCTTTGGACGCCCTGTCTTGTAGTTCTGTCACTGCGTCTGGTAGTGAACTCACGAATTTTAGAGGTGGACAGTGGACAGTAAGTGGAGCTATGTCGCATTTTCCACTGTCCCCTGTACAATATTTCGCTCTGACAACTGTCCACCAACTGTCCGAAAAATTGTACAGTGGACAGTAGTGGAGCCAGACCCTTAAGCTAAGTACTACTGTCGGATCAGACTCTTAGAGTTTTTCTTTTTTTTCCAGCACGCACTGATACTCAGTATTCCGCACGGATTCCTGCCATCCGTCCGATCTGAATGTCTGACGGCCACTGTGTGGCCACGTTGAAAAATACTTGGAAGGAAGGAAGACCAACCCCCCCTCTAGTGGGGCTTGCTTCTGCCCAGCCTAAGGTCGTGTGTTTGAATCTGAACGGTCAGCCCTATGGACGACAGATCTTCACGGCAGACGAAAAACCTTGGCTCCAATCATTGGAACGGTGCCACACTCAGGGCATACTCACACGGTGAACCCAAAGCTGCAAAATTTGCGGATTTGGGAAGGGCCGATTTGAGGTTTTGGGTATGGTTCACGTCACACTGCTGTACCTTTTCAGATGGGACAAGGTCGCCGCCGTCTGGAGAAATGGGGATTTGGTACTTGGCTGGTCACATGGCGCCATCCACCAATTGTGCAAGAACTTTTGTGAGCGAAGTTTTGCCAATTTTTGAAGAAAATGCAAAAAAAAAAGGGAATTTGCGGTCACCCGCGGCTTCCCAGGCGGCTGACAAATGGGCACTGGAATAGTACATTTGCGAATTTGGTAGATCCGTGTGACCGGCGTTTTCCCCTTTTTTTGGGGATTTTGGGATTATAGGTCGCCCTGTGAGTATGCCCTCAGTCCCCCATGCAAAACTCAAGCCATGGTGAAAGACAGACCTTTTTTTGTTTTGTTTCTTTGAAAGACAGTTTTTTTCTCTTTTTCCTTTTTCTTTGGTGTGCGGCTTTTCTGGACTGATGAGGCTTCCTTTTTTTTTCCATGGTCGGGGTTTATGAGAACAGGGGTTAGGTTTTGGCCATTTCTGTCTCTGGAGCTGACCCGGAAACCTGCACTGAAGCTGGGTACTGGTCCCAGTACTTTTTTTTTCCAAGTTGTTTGTGGGGGGGAATTCCGGGCCTCTATTTTGTGGTGAATCAACTAGGGCTTGGTAGGCTTACCAAGCAATGGTCATTACGCTGGTTTCTGGTTTTTCTTTCGATAGGTATCTCTGCGCCTACGGTAGGATGATGTTTTTTGGGGGTCGCTGTCTGGTTACCTGTTTCTGATGACTCAGATCAGGCCGACAATGGGGTGCGAAGGCCTATCCTTTTTCCGATACTGGGATGACTGGGGTTATTTTTCGGGGGTTGCCTGTCTGATACTTGCTCGGATCAGGCCGGTAGCGGGGTGCGTTGGCCTCTTGGGTTTTTTCCGAGGCTGGGATGACTTTACCGTTTGTTCTGACGCGTGCCAAGAGTCCCTTATGGCCACCACTGGACC